GGTATTATGGAGAGACATGGAAGACATCAACGATTATTTGATACATAATATGCTAGAGTGCAGGAGCTAAATCCAACTGATTTACAGTGATCCGGGACTCGGTGAAGGTATTACCTCAGGAGTTACTGTCATAGCTGGAATCAGATAAAATCAAATTCGGCGAACAGATGAACGATCCTCTCCTCGTGCTACTGGTCTTTCAACAAAGGGAAAAGGTAAATGAAAAGTAATACTCGGAATATCGCGGACAAAGTATGCTCATACGGAAGTCTGTTCAAGTTGTATGACGCAGCAGATATTCACCTCGACTCTGAAGTCTATGTATCTGGCAATTTCCATGGTAATAAAGCAATACTCCGCAGAACTGATGAAAACACCAACTTCAAGGCACACATGCCTACATATTCGAGGTCAGCTGTCCCATCTGCAGCAGGTCCAAGAACTCCAAGAACAAGAGCCAGTCCGCTCATCGGCTGGTGAAAGCTGACGGATGCCGTCTATCCGTCCAGCGAACCACCCATGACCACGATTGGAACTGACTACTGTCTGAGGAGGAGATCGCTCCAATCCCGCGCTGGACTGAGGCCGGCATGGCTGTTCTTCTACCCCGCTAGATTTTTCTGGATTGTGTTTGGCGTTGAATCGTTGAATCATCGTGCATGCAGCGGCTAATTTGGAGGTAGGCAGGCATAGGCAAGGTACAAGGTACCTAGTACCTATCTACCAGGTGCGGACGGTAATTTCCCTGCCAACTGCGGTCTGAACTCGTGTCATTAGCCATATTATAAATTTGAGTATTTCATGAAGACAATCATCTCCTCATTGCTTCATATGTCTGATTTGAGGATTCTCTCCAGCCCACGACTTGTATACTGGAGTACCTACCTTAGGTTACAGATACCCCGGTAATCCATTTACAGCTCCAAAACACCACCACAGATTTGGTGGGGTAAGTGACATGGCCACCAGACACTAGTTCCGATTAGTATGCCAAGACTCTTGATATGACGTTACTGAATCCGGTTAGCATGGAGATCTCCAATGATGATACCTAATGTAACTCACTCCGTAGTGGATGATCATTGTTCTAGCCTTCATCTTCGAGACCGTTATTCTAGGGGAGTTATCCGTCAAGAGTTGAGAGCTGGAAGGGATGACTCAAATGGAATGGAGCTATTAAAAATACCAAGAGCTAAACTCATGTTCCTTGGAGAATGAGCCTTGGTGACATCGGCATATCTCTATTCAGTCTGAACCCTGCAGAAATGTTCCAATGCAGCCCAACGCGGATGACGACAATTCGTCACCAATTGTCTGGAAAATCCGGAACAATGGAGGTAGAAGGGGGCAAAGAATGCTGGGGTAGGAGAATTACGATTTGAAAGATGACTTGTAGTCGTCCTTCATGTTAACCAACTTGGGAACTTGATACTCACAATAGCATATTCCAACCCCCATTATCTTTAACTGGGATCTGCTGGTAGCATCATCCATCATATCTTCCTATTCAGGATCTGCCAAGAAAACAATTATTGAGGGATTGCGTGGATTTGCATAGTTTCATGCTCGCCAAGCAAATCCAGGGAGCATGATGCGCAACCCTTGTATTACTATTAATCAACTGCGTTTGTTGTTGACCCAGAAAATAAATTCGAGTCTCATCTGGTTGGCACCACCTGACTATCAATTGTCCTCAAGCATCCCCGTCGATTTCATGTTTATACTGTCTTCTGCTATCACAGAGCTGGTGGTGGTATGCCATGAACCACCTCGTCCAGACCTCGATGGTTCGAAAGGAATCTCCTACTCCGCTCATAAGCTCTTCAGAATATCGAAAGCGCCAGGCAGAGGCCATAATCCACTCAAAGTAACCCCCGAGAAAAGACGCCGTAAAGTTGACCTTGGCATTTGTCTTCAAGTTTCCACAACTCAATTTATTCAGTGCGTGCAAATGCTGTGGGTATTTGACGACGCTCTATGTCGCATGCAAGTCCTATAATGTACACATTGTAAAAGCCCAACCCAAACAACGCCGGTGTCGTAATCCAAAACAGCATGGCTGCAGTCGCACGAATCGCCAAAGTATACACTTGAGATGAACAGCCCTTTCTTCCAGGCGTTTATTCAAGGCACAACCTGGATGCCAATCGACTTCGCCTGCGCCATAATACTCTTGCACAGTCCCTGTAAAGTCAACCCCGATAATCTCGTCTCGGACTGCTTGATCTTGGCGATTTCGTACACATGCTTCAGGGACACTTTGCCGATGGTCTCATGGCCGGGTTTCATGGCTCCGCGGATGCGGTTCTTGCGGGGCTCCACGTTCGCGGCTTGCAGGAGGAGATATGTCGTCGTTGGGGTTCGGAGATCGAAGGTGAAGGATCGGTCAGGACGAACGGTGACTCGTGCGGGAATGGGGACTCCAGTGTTGATGTGCGCGGTTCTCGCATTGAACTCCTATGTCGGCGCGCGGCAGTTTAGTAAGATCACTGCGATTTAAAGCCGAAGAAAAACTTGGAGAGAAGAGCGTACCTTGCAGAAATCCATACTCTTGACACCTTTGCTACCCAGGGCTGGACCGACTGGGGGACTGGGACTGGCCTGTCCCGCTCCGACAATGAGCTTGACAATCTGATCTTTAGCTAGTGCCTTCTTCGCCATGGTGAGATGTGTTGTGTCCGCAAAGAGACGAAAGTATGGTATGTCTGTATTCAAAAATGAAGTGATGAGCGAACTATTTGCGGCCGAGTTTTGTTCGGATTCGGATTAGACCACCGCGCCGGAGTTTCGTTCCCCTTTGGGTCAGCTTCCGACCGGCCGCAAAGGGACGATATAACGAGCATTCTTGATCAACGTGGGACGGCATTGCGATGAGATTGTTGAAATCATGATTGTATGATGGTCATATTGTAGAAATCGGGTTGGCAAAATATAGTGCTTTGTAGTTGGCACCAGTAGCATCAATATCTCCCTCTGAACGATCACTGCTGTAGTTGGGCCGATCGACGCCATCAGGGCCCCGCGCGCCACTATGGATTTCCCTCTCCCTTCATCCCTCTCTCACCCTTGACCTGACAATCATCATCATTTCCTATCCGCCCATCATGAACTGGCTCAAGTCTACGTATGCTACTTCTCCGGTCTCGTCTCATGTTTGATGTATAATATCGACAATACTGATTGAAAAATGCTATATGTAGCCTCGCAAGTGTTGCGGGCACTCAGGAGCCCATCTACGGCCCCGAGGCCATTCAGTCTGTCGCCCAACAAGCCCAACATACCCCTTATACCGAGTTGACCAAGGACGACCTGCGGTGGCGCGCTTATCAATATACCAATGTCGAGACTCACACCTTTTATGTGATGGCCGACAATGGCACTCTGGTCATGGTGCAGGTCATCTACAGCAACATCGCGTGAGTGGAACCGTTCCGGTTGTTGCAATTCTCGGGCCTCATTTTGCGCCTGTCGAGACTGCAATCGGACCTTGTGTATCGTCGCTGGCTCACTACCTGACACTCGTGCAGAGGAATCCACACTACTGCGCAGTTCAACTCAAAGATCTTTGACCTCAAAGGCGAGCGACCCCACATCTGGCACTCCGACCCTCTATACAACTACATGTTCGATGAGAGCATGCTCTCCTTCGGAGCCGACAATCTCGCCTTAACGCTGAACGAGGAAGGAAATGCGTACACCATCAAGTCCGCCGTCAACGAGGACAGCCTGGTGAATCTGACGTTCACCCGCGCCGCCCCCGGTTTCGTTATTGGAAAGGACGGCACTTCTTACTTCGGGACCGACCCCGCGAATCCCTGGGGCAGCATGATGCATGCCTTCTGGCCTCGGTGCCGTGTTGAGGGTACAATCACGACGAAGGAGAAGACGTATGACCTCACCGGTCGGGGAATGTTCATTCATGCCATCCAGGGCATGAAGCCTCATCACGCTGGTGAGTTTCCTCCACCTTGTTATAGAAATGTGAATGAGAATGAGAATGCTGAGCCGACAATAGCTGCGCGATGGAACTTTGTCAACTTCCAGACCCCCTCATACTCTGCCGTCATGATGGAATATACCACACCGCCCTCGTATGGCTCGACGGTCGTCAACGTCGGCGGGATCGTCAAGGACGACGAGATTATCTATGCCGGTGCAACGAATTCGGCCGCCCACACCGCGTCGGCCCATGACTCGGACAGCGACTGGCCCGCTCCGACTTCCATCAAGGTGGTTTGGGAGGGCAAGTCGAAAGACGAGAAGGACGTCCGCGCGGAGCTCGAGGGGCCCCTCGGTAACCGGCTGGACCGCATCGATGTCATGGCCGAAGTGCCAGGCTTCGTCAAGACCATCGCGGGAAGTGTTGCTGGAACACGGCCGTACATCTTCCAGGTGAGTTTCCATTAACAATCGGCGTGTGTTTTGTCAAGCTGACAATTGGCCAGTATTCTCCGCAGGAGAAACTTTCTCTGAAGCTCAAGGTCGGCGACGAGGAGATCACAGAGGAAGGTTTCATGTTCTCTGAGGCTACGTTCATCTCATGAATGATTCTACGTACATATAGCACACCTGGCAGGAGCTTGTCCGTGGCGTTTTGAGTATTATTTTTGCTCATTCTCATTGATACTCATAAATCACGCAACCCGCATGACCCTAATTATTCATACAAAGAATTTTTAATGCTATTCATACTTGTCAAACCTCAATGCTATTATCCCGGTTCTTCTCAACATCTAGGGGTCACATCAATGCTGGTTTCATGTTTGTGCTCTTCAATGTAGGTGATTCACCTCATCCAACGGCATCTTCAAGCGCACAACACAATAGACAATAAGCTAACACAACTCATAGTGTTAACACCATATTTATACCATACAACTTTTCCTTCGACTGCCCTGCGAACTGTCCTTCAACTTCTCCCCCAAAATCTTCCGTATCAACCTCTCAACCTTCGCAGCAGACAAACATACATACACAACTTTCATCAACATACAGTCAACATGGACGTCACTCAGGCTACCACCGCCAATACTCGAGGCCTGCTGCTGAAAGGCTACCGGCGTCGGTAAGTTGCCTACTGCTGTGCTCTATGACCTCGACAATTCGGACTTGACCGGCATCCCAAACGCATTCCACCCTATGCTCACTCAATCATAAACCCACAGCTACATACGAGATAACATTATTGGTGTTAGTAAGTTCCCGACAAGCCACATCCGAACCTTCAACTCGCTAACACAATCTCTAGCCAGACCAGCTATCCGGTAAGCTACTCGCCCGAGAACATCCATGAGACTCCCCCTCTGAACCGTCCTCGGAACCACAGCCGTCTCGCCCGCCGCGGAGGCGTTGTGCGCATGAGAAAAGACATCTATCCTGAGATCTGTTCCGTCATTAAAGAGCGCCTACGCGAAGTAAGAATCCCCTCCCCCTCAGCCTCTCCCTGGAAAGCAAGGCATGAGTTGGAGGCGAAGCAGATGTCCTAACTACCTTACCTGTAGATCCTCTTTCAGGTGGTCCAAATCCTCGAGTCCTCGAAGACTCATCGACACGATAGGAAGGTTAGTAGCATCCAGCCTATTTCCTCGTTGCACGCAGTGGAAGCTTTCTCCTATTGACCGATTATATCTGCTCTTGCTAATCTGTTTGAGCAGGTGATTACGACTCGAGATGTGAGTTTCTGATAGTTGAACCGAGAGAATACGGAGCGCCTACTAATACGAATGTTTGATTCTCAAGGTTGTTTACGCCTTGCAGAGAGTGAGCTTTACTTATCCCCAGAGTCCTTCAGTTACTGACGTTTGCTATTGCAGATGGGGCAGACAATGTACGGTTTCTAGATTGGGCAGACTTTTTCGAGAGGAATGTCTTACTCTACGCACACATGTTCCAATACCTTTGTGACTTGTACGATAGGTTCACGAAATTGAATCTGACTAAACGATCTTAATAAATAGACGGCGTCGTCTTTATGATTCTGGCTGACATGAGCACCGAGTTAAGTTCTAAGACAAGTGTTGAAAGAAAGTTGTGTAGTCAAGTCTATCAACGGGATGATACAAAATGATGTAGAAAGAGAAAATCCGCCAGCGGGACCATAATAGTAAGTACAGAAACTTCGTAGCGTAATGTTGCATGACTTAACCTTCGATCATCAACTGCTCTCCTTCATCCAACAAAGTAGTGATCTTGGATAAGTCCGAGATCATCTTGTTGCCATGCCCGACCAACAATAGTTTCTCAGCATTGGCTGGCAAACCGAGGTACGTGGGTGGCTCTCGCTCAGGGAGGCGGTTGACCCATTCGACAAAGTCGCGGATGCTGGTTTCTCCAGGTAGTGCCAGGCACTCGTCCTTCTCAACACCAGAAACGAGCTTGTAGTCAACTTCAAAGGCAGCTGGAGTGAGGAAGCTGTTCACAAGGTTCTCCAGCGCCTGGAAGTCTTCACCGTCGTCGACCTTGCCACCATATGTCTCCGTCACAAGGGTACGGATCATCTCCCAAGGAAGTTTCTGAGGCGCAACATTGGATCGACCCTGCGCAACCGTCTCCACCCAGACGTCGAGAATATGGGCCGAGCATTCGTACTATTAAGGACTCGTTAGCGGGATTGTGATGATGAAACTTGATATAGTGGTCACTTACGTCACTATCATTAAACTCCCAGAAGCCCTTCCAACCCAGGCTAGGCGCATAACGAAGTCTTTCTTGAATAACGGCATGCAAGAAGCAAAGCAAGACATAGACACGTGCTTTCTCGACCGGAGGTTGGCCGGCGCGTACCATCAGAGTAGACAGTGAGTCCTTCATGTTTGCACGAATACCGGCTGGTTGCTCGTACATCAGAACGCGAGAAGCGCGGATGAGATTGACTGGAATCTTGGGATTGGATTCCATTGACAGGAAGAGTCGGAAATCCTTGTGAGGTTTGAGTGAGTCGAGCCTCTTCTCCAGACTCTGAAGCCACGAAGGTGCCAGGTGTACGTTCTTGACCAGTACCCACGTTCCGGCAGTAGCAGCATTGCTGATTGCTTTGTCGGCACTTTCGAGACCTTCGTTGGATCCCATTGCAATATTGGCGCAGGTTGCGTGCATACGTTCGACGAGAGCATCCACTTTGTAGCTAGCATCAAATCCAGGACTCGAGCTGAGAGAGATTGGTGTCGTTGCTGCAACCTGTTCTACAACCTCCTTCAAATCGGAACTTCCTTCAAAGAATTCTCGGCCAAAGACCGCCTCGATGAAACGCTCAGCAGCTGGTACGAATCTGTCCAGCCTGCAAAGCTTCACAATCAATAATGATCGAAGCAGTCGGTCGAGCTGCTCGGTGTTGTCGTCCCAAACCACCGGGACCGAGTTTTCGGCCAATTCCTCGCCCAAAAACTGATCCCATTGTTCTTGTGAGATATTCGCAAACGACGCTTTGAAGATTGCCATGTTCGAGATCTTGCTCAAAACCTGCTCTTTAAGTTCCGGAGCAGTCGACAGATCGGCACCCTGCACCGACTCGTCGAGAATGATATCAATGATTGTCTTGTCCATCGGATAAGGAGCGGCTTGGGCGAGAAGCATGGCCAGCGTGATACGGTCTTTCTGAACCAGCCCCAGTGAAGTCCGCTGGAACGTCGTAACGAACAAATCCTTGAGAATAATTTGCACACGCGCTGAGTGGTCTTTCTCCGCGGCAAGACGTTTGTTCTGATAGAGGACCGAGTGGAAAATATCCACAAAGTACTGCAGCGAAAATTGGTAGAAGTGATTGATGTGATGAAGCTGCTCCAACACAGCAAAAACAGCGCTGCAGGAGCGAGCGATGATGCTGTAGTTCAAGGTGATATTTTCGACCTCCGTCATGACGCCCTCGGTCTCCACCATCTTCTTGGAGATCTCGGCCGCCTCCTTCTTTAGGGTCTCTAGAGTCTCAATAACGTTGTCATCATCCAGGATGTTGCCGCGGGATTCGTTCAATGCTTGCAGCAGCCGTTTCTCGAGCTGACGGAGATGGATCTTGAATTCTCCCTGCAGCTTGACCAAGTCGGTGCGCCGCGCGTCCACATCCGGTCGCTCAAACTTGAGTACTTCGTTGAGCGATTGAGTTCGCAAACTGCTTTGTGTAACGGTGAAGTTGACAAAAGTGGTTCTACTGCATACGTCCGGCGGGAAAGACGCAGAAGGGTCTCTTGTCGAGAGGAAAAGCTTAAATGAAGGCGAGAAATCAATCTCTTGTTTCCCGAGCTGGATGAGAACACGTCCACCAGTCTTTTGATATTCCTTGTTGAGCACATGGTTGAGGATGGGATCCAAGTGCTCCGCATCTTGAATGAGGATTGGATTACCGAAACGCAGGGCACTCTCCAGTTGCTTGACAAAGGAGTCGTCCAGGAAGCTTGTGACCGTAAGTTTCCTATCCGTACTTTCCTTCTGCAGGAACTCGGTGACACGACCCGAAGGATCGATGATCAGAGGGTATCTGTTGTACCGCTTCAGGACGATGGCGTTTTCGGTGCAGAGATCGTCAACTGGAAGGGCATGATCTTGCCAAGTCAAGCGTTCGTCAGCATTCGACAAGTACTCTGTAATCGGATTGTGTGGCTTGAAGTTGATGCCCGATTGTGCCAGTTGGTTCACCCAGTCATCAATCATGGCCTTCCGGAATTGTTGATCGTAGAAACCAGCATAAGCTAGGAAAGCTGCGGCAATCAGAACATCACCCACGAGAGTGCTGATCTGGGTTTCGAATGACTTGCTTCCCTCCTCCCAACGTGTACGCTCGGACGACAAGCTATCAAGTAAGCGCACACTTCGGTCGACCTTGAACTGCACTCTTGACATTTCTGTCTTGATGGCCTGGGTTTCGCTGATGAGGGCAGCATATTCAGCTTTGTAAGTGGCAATGCTGCTCTCAAGGTTCTGGACGGTATTCTCGATGGCCTGAGCCTCTGCCTTGGTCTGCAAGGCTTGCTCTTCAAGTTGACCGACTTCCTCACGCAGCGGTCCGACACGGTCGAGAATCTCGGAGTAGTTGACTTGAGCTTCCACCCACTGAACCAGGGGACCACAGGCTCTACTGGCTCGGTTGACTCGCTCGTAAGTGAAATCCTCCTTTGAAAGGAACTCGTTCTGCATCTTGAGGCGGTGATTCCTTGTCATCTGCCTCTCATTGTCGTAATTGACGATACTGGCAATGAAATCGTCTCTTCTGACAATACCCTGGATCGTCTTCCAGCTGTCCACTTTGTGGCCAAGCAGAGTGCAAACGGCTTCGAGAGCAAGTCGAACGCTAGCGGGCGGGTTGCCCATAGAACGAACTTCCGTAAGATGCTGACGCTTGATGTTTTGCACACTTTTCTGAGCCTCAAGAACAGCGGGCTCGGCTCGAGCCAAGTCATTGAGCACAACTTCCTTGCGCAAAGCCACTTCCTTCTCCTGCTTCTCCAGGGCTGCCTGGACTTCAAGAGACACAGCCTTCCGTTGCTCCGCCTCTCTCTGGTCGGCAACCATGCGTTGCAGCTTCTCGTTTGCTTCCGCATCCTTCTTCTCCAACTGCATTTTCTTCTGAGCGAGACTAGCACGCAGGTCGCTGACCTTGTCGACAGTATCCCTGAGTTTCTCCAGACCGACGTTCAAGTGCCTCTGTTGCTCTTCCAGATCCTCCCGCTTCTCATTGAACAGCTTGACATACTGAGCGACAAAGTCAAGGTAGTGACGGGGAGTAAGATATGTGGTCTTTCCTTGTTGCTTCTGCAGACGCTGGTTGAACCTCTGCAACGAATAGTGGATATAAACCATCGAGTTCACAACCGCATCTCTATGAGACGCAGGAAGGCTGAGATCGCGATAAGCGACAGGAATGCTGTCAAGTGCAACAAAATTTGGCTTGTCCAAATCGAGTGACTGAGTGAGTTCAGAACCGACCTGGAAAAGGGCTTGATCAGACCAATCACCCATCCAGTTGAGTACGCAACGGTTGAACAGGGCGGGACTCGTGGCAGCCTTGGAAGATAGTCCCTCCTCAGGAGGGTTCATCGTGAACACTACGTGAAGGTTCTTGACAATCTGCTGCGTAAACCACTTGTAAAGCTCTTCCTGAGAGTCGAGGAGAAGGCCTTGGCGTTGAGCGCCCTCCTTGCAAGCGGTCATCAGAGACGAGAACTCATCTCCTTCGAACAGACCGGGAACTTCGGCATTAGCGAGCAATGTGTTCATGCGTTCAAGGAAACCAGAGTCAAGAACATTGGCCTCGTCCATGATAAAGCAGATTTTCTCGCCCTTACAGCCTGCGCGTCGAAGAACCGTTCTTAGGTCGTCATCGAAGTCCTCCGAAGAATACTTTCCATGTACCTTGATCTGGAAGACCTTCAAACCATTCATCCACGCCACAAAGCGAGACAATGTCGTTTTACCACTTCCACTGACACCAATGAGGATGAGGTGGCCCTGAGGCTGGCGGAACACCCGGTCAATGCGCAGTGCATGCTCCAATACATCGTTGAAGAGCACGAGAGGTACATCAACCTCTTCCTCGCAGAAGGTCTTTAAGCGAGCCTTGACGAAGTCGCGTAGTCGCTCCCGTTCAACAGGGATATAGTTCTTAGACAACCAATTCGAGAACAAGATTGGCCCCTTGAGCGCTTGTTCCTCGTCAATAGTAGGGAAGTTGTCAAGTGCAATGCGGCGGACTGCATCGGCTGTCCAATTCCTCTCTTCTTCGGCGACCAGTCGATCCTGGAACAGACGCAAAGCTTCATGTGCCCATATACGCACCAGGCCCTCGACGGAGAGCGTTTCAAGTGGCTTTATAGCCTCATATACACCACGAACCCATCGTGTAAGCTCACGGGGAGAGTACACGTAATGCGGCTGGATCTGAGGCGTGAATCTGCGCTGGGATTCCAAGTAGAACTGCACCATGGCTTTGGTGAGGGACTCGGAGTATCCGCGTAGCAATGGAATGATTTTGAGCACAGCCGAGTTGAATGTTCCGTAGATTTGCGTGAGCGAGATTTCTCCAGGATAATCGACCATAATTAGAGGAGAGTGGCGTAGGAAACGCTCGGCTAGAGGGGTACGTCCCGCGTCAGTTGGAGGATTGCAAGCTCCAACAAATTGAATTCTGTCCAGGGTGACCCAAGTCTTGTCCGATGTCCTCCAGAAACCGTTCTGCTCAACAAGCTGTCTCAGGAAGGTAATCGCCCGTTGCGTTCCGTAACGGTCTGGCGAAGGAAGGTTGATTTCGTCGCAGAAAATAACCAGCCAGCGACCTATTTGGTTGGGAGACATAACAACACCATTCAAAGTCTTCTTATATTCACAGTACTGTTCGAAAGTCTTGATCAAAAGATCCGGAGTGGTGGCGCTTGAGAAATTCAGGCCCACCACTTCCATGTTTGGCAGCTTTCGGAGTGCTGCAAATAGAGTCATAGTCTTACCGGAACCTGGTGGACCACAGAGCAGCAGTGGCTTGTGCTCGGCGAGCCAGGAGTAGAGAACGTCTTCATGGCGAACAGTATCCACGGTTGGGATGACCACATCGGTTTGTGTGATGGAGTGGGTGTTGATCTCGATTGACGGGACTTGTGACTGCCAGCTCGTCCACTCCGACTTGGGCAGTGTGATGTCAAAGTCAATGAGGGAGGAGGCTCCGTCAGGCGGCAGTTCTGTTGTCGACAAAGCTGACACAAACTGCCCGAAGGCCTGGCGGTCAGTCAAGGGGCAGTCTCCGGTGAAGGACCAGACGAGAGCAAGGAGGAGCTTCTTGGAAATGTACGACTGAATCTGTTCTTGATCGAGCGGGAAATCGACATGCTGAATGTTATACTCGAGAATGTTCCGGCAGGCCTTGTTCAACAAGCTGAACAGAGTATTGAGGGCACGGATATCGGTGAACTCCATGATATGGTTGTACTTTTTGGCTTCATCAAGAGATTTCAGCACAAGCTCATCAGTCTCCAAAAGCTGCTTGAGAATCGTGGAAAGCATGTCCTGTGCGTCTTGGGTTTTGACTGCAGCTTGTCCTGCTGGGGCACTGTCATCATCCAAATCCTCAAAGATCTTCGTTTTGAGCGACTCGACGTAGTTGGAAATCATCATCAGAGGAGTGACAGTGTCGTCATTGAACCATACCATACCACAACGACTGACTGTAGCCAGGGTAGCGTACTTCAGACTTTCAACTTCAAACATTATACGGACGTTAGGAGGAAGATTCAGACGCTCTCCGTTTGGAAGGGTCAGGAGCTTGTTATCATCAAGGACACTGTTTAGGTTCTCAACCCATTCAGGGTCGACATCGCCATCAAACACAATCCAGTGTCTCTTTGCGTCCTCACCTCGGAGGTTATCCACGATCTTTCTCAGGATGCCCGTGAACAGACCATCTGTCCATTCTCTGGTAGTGCTATCAAGATTACCATAGAGTGCTTCCTTGGACATGACCTTGGAGTCAATGATGTGGGAGACACCTTCAACGCCTTCGATCCGTTGCAAGGCCTGGAGCAAGATCTTCCAAGCGGCCGACTTGCCGGATCCAGACTTGCCCACCATCATGACACCATGGTGGATGCTCTGAATCTGGTAAAGCTGGAGGACTTTTGCGATCCACATCTCACTGTCGACGTAGTGTTGCTCGTGAGCGATGTCCCGGATTGCCTGCGTAAGCTTCTCGTAATTTGCGGGCACATACTCCACTCCAGCGAAGGTGTGCGCTTGAATCTCGAGCATCTTGTCTACATCTTCACGGACAAGCTTGGGGGCAATTGTTTCCCGCAGACTTTGAACGATAATTTGGGGTTCAATGATCTCGTCCGGGCCAAGGTCGCCATCGGTACTAGCAATTCTCACTCGCTTGAGACCCCCAGAGCTGACCAATACGCTTTTAAGAGCACGCAGACCGAAGTCGTAGTGGGCTTGTTTTGACAGCTGCGAGGCACAGTGGTCGAAGAAAGGCACTGTCTGCTTGGACAAATGCTTTGCTTGCTTAAAACCCTGAGAAAAAAGCATCACTTCCGCAATCAACTCCTTGTCTGGCTTCGACATGGCAACACTCCGGAATAGCTTCTTCAAGTTGTCGGGCAGATTTGAACGGCCCGCATAGCCAGGGTTCATGGTAATGAAGATTCCGGTGTTGGGATTAACACGTAGTCGTCTTCCGACCAGCTCGATCTGCGCCTTCTCATCGTCAACTCCAGTTTTCAAACCTATTTGGATGTTTTGAATTTGCTGAGAGACCGCGGACAGAATTCTCTCTTCCAGACGGTTGAACTCGTCAAAACAGCCCCATGCACCAACCTGGCAAATACCCAGGAAGATTCGGCCCATTGCCTGGAAATCAAAAGTGTCGTCACAGCAAAACACAAGAGTGAAACGGCCAAGTTGGAGACCCAATGCCTTGACTGATTCAGTCTTTCCTGTACCAGCAGGGCCGTACGGTGAACCACCCAATCTTTGACACAAAGCTTGAGTGAGGGTCAGGAAACAGCGATCGGTAAGAGGTGTGCGGACGAGGCGTTCAGGTACTCCGAGGTACTCGAAGCCATAACTGAGCTTAGCATTTGCCATATGGACGTGTAACCGCTGGAGGAAATCGCCTTCGGCATGGTAAACATAGCGCATCTGCAGCAACCACAAATAGTGCGTCGGGACGTTGGCATTGGCCGTCATGAGTTTCGAGATGACATCGCGTTGGTGTACGAATTCAGTGATCATGTGCTCGCACTTCTTTCTACTAATCGCATCTAGGTCCCCAAGCACAGTAGCAGCAAGCACCTCCAGCACTCGGACTTGGGCGTCATACAAGTCTTTGAGATTCGCTCCTCCATTTTCCAGAGATTTCTGCACAGCGTTGGTCCAGACAACTTGGCTGGCAAGAACGACAATCTGCGCGGGATAGTTGGCCAAGTAGTCATTGAAAGCAGTGCGGTCGACCTCGGCGGCATTGTAGATTGTCTCGAATTGCTCAATTGCCTCTCCGAGGAGTTCCGCCAGGGTCAATTTCATGCTGCTTTCCAGTGCCGTGAGCCAATCATTGATCCTGGGAGTCTTAAGAAGATTGATTTCTCTCTTCAAGCGGACCTCTTCGCCCTCTTTCGAAGTGATGCCAACGATGTTATTCTCGTCATCCATGAGGACGCCTGACAATCCAGCAAACATCTTCTTGAAATGCTTCGCGACGCGGAAGATGTCATTGCTGTTACCGATAATCTCCAGCAGGTCTTCATCGCCGACGAAGTAGAAACGAGGGAAAGAGATACGTTCACGTTCGAGGTATTCACCCAGAGCCTTTTGAATCTTGTTGAGCAACTCGGCCAGTCTCTCCAATGACTTTTGCACACCGTTGATGGCAAGCACATCGAGAACAAAAGGAGACTTGTACACTTTCTTCATCACCGCGAAGAATTCGGAATTGATGTTTTGGAAGCGGCTCGATTCAAGGGGAAGAAGATGCTTGATATCGGCATTACCAGTAAACACTCCCTCAAGGTATACCCACTGTCTTTGAACGTCAATCCACACATCGAAGAGGACGTGAACTCTGTTTAGCTTGTCTTCCCAGGAAGCAGCTTCCTCGTCAAACTCCTTGTAGTATGGCGAATGTCTCATGGCCTGCAGGGAGTTCAGATTCTCACTGCATTTCGCGAACAGGTCATCGAACCCACGAATCAGGCGGCATTTATTCTGGTAGTTGACAAGATCCAAAGAATAGTTTTGCCACGTCTCCCGAACAGATTTCAAGAACTCCTCTAGAGCCATTTCGCCCTGTGCCTGGGCGATAATGTCGCGGATGACAGTCTCACTGGTCGCAAGTTGCAGATCCCATACATCTCCCAGTGTAAGGGAAACGAGAGAAAATCGCTTCCCAGGCTTGAGAGCTTTGTAAATTTTCTGCCAATGCCTTTCACGAACAGCTTCGGATTTCATGTCGGAAAGCAGGGGATTGACCTTCAGGAGCTGTCGCAGGACGTTTTGTATGTGCTCGAATGCCGCATACTGGCGCATACGACTGGGCATTTCCTTGGTCATCTTGATCAAGCCATCGATCGACTGACGGAGCTTTCGGGGTTGCACGCTAGTCCATAGCATGTCTCTCAGGTCATTGAGGCTCTTCCAGATGGTTGACAGAGCTGCCCACACTGACATGAAATCCTGTACCTCTTCGAGAATTGCTGGTAACGAGGACTCTGAGCTAGCCGGAAGATCGAGAGCTTCTTTGGCCTTGGACACCATCTCAAATTCGGCCTGAAGAGCTTCAAGGCGGGACTGGAAGGAGCTCAGAGTCCGAGATGCCTCCTCAGGCGGAATAGTTCCAGATACGGGCTTCTCTTCATTCCACTGCGCAATAACTTCGGTAATCTTATCACCGATGACTTTGTCTTCAGCCGTGATCTTCGCGCGCAGCCCTTCCGTCTGGTCGTGGACAATCTTGCTCTTCCGTGCAAGCAATTCGTTCAAGGCTGCCCACTCGCCATCGACGTTCTCCACATGGAGCCAGTCGTTCGGGAACTGGTATCGCTGGCGGGCTAGGGTAGTCTGGCCTTGTCGGAAGATATTGACTTCCGGCTCCCAAACCTTTGCCTTGCGCTTGCATTGTTGGACTATTGTGATGAAGGAAACTGCATGAGCGGTTGAAGAAGCTTCGAGGGTTTGTCCCTCCAGGTCCCTACGGGCGGCGGCAATCTCTGAATGCACTTCTCTCATTCGGGCTCCGAGCTTCGATCCGAATTTCAATAGAATCTCGTGCTGCCACTGATCGTATTTGGCGTTGACCCTGGTCTGGACTTGCTCATAGTCTATTTTGATGTTGCCGAATGACCGACTGACCTCGGAAGTGTCGAATGTGGCTCGGCTCTTACGAATTTCCTGAAGCAACTGGAGCCATTGCGCTAGGTCATCGCCTAGGATGTCGTACACTTGTTCAGATTGCAAGTCCCACAGAGATTGGAACTGTAACCATTTATCGACGTACTCCGAAACTTCCTTGAGCCTGCCCTCCACAACACTATAGACATGGCTAAGTTCTTCGGTGCAGTGCTGCGGAAGATCAGCGAAGCAAGCTTCGGACAACTGAACTTTCTGCACATCGATCGATATCTGATATCGGGATGATTTGATCTTCTCCAAATGGCAGATCACGCCAAGCCAATTGTCGAAGTGGGAGAACCAGCTCGCTCGAGCATATTGTAAAGGCGGATCAAGATGAAGGACCTGGTTGCGCATGGAAATTTCATGGACTAGTTCCGGGAATTCTATTTTGTAGGATACAGCCTCTGACTCGCCCGCGGCCGGATGCTGGGTTCCAGTCGACACTTGTGAAGCATTCTGTTGCTCCTTGGCTTCGTGGAAGGAGTGGATCCACTCACGAATGGCGCGATGGAGCCGGTCACGAAGGATAGATTCGATTTTTTGGTTCAAACGCGCAACCCAGTACCCCAGGTTGACGTAGTTCTCCAGATTAAGCTTGTCAACAGCGACTTGTATCGTGTCCAGACGCTGCCTGAATGCTGATGCCTCGTACGGGCATGTTTTCAGCTCAAGGATGGCTTTCTGGATGCTTTCGTGAATTGAAGACAAAACAGCCGTCTTTGATTGCAGCACTGACGCTGATCCTGCAAATTCTCGGACGAATTGAACATGTTTGCTCTCTCCTCTGCCTGGGATAGCAGACTCAATGGCGCCGTTGGCGAGGGCAGATTGTTTTACGTGGAGTTCGTATGAATGAACGAAAGACTCCCATCTTAGGGGAATTCCTTTGATGATCATGCCTTGTGCATCGTTCAAATACCCGTTGAGTAGGATAGCAACCTCTGTCATGGCAGCGATGGAGCGAGTGGTTTGGAGCAAGGTCCGAACGCTTTCCATCAGGCTGATGGCGTATGGATAAACACGTTTAGCCTCTTTTGAGATACTGCTGACCGCATGCGGAACTTGAAAATTAAGCCAAATGAGGTTTCTGACTTCCTTGAACAATGCAATAATTTGAGCATCGAAGTTGACAATGAGCTCTAGGCTGTTTCCTGCAGCGCGATTGCGCGTAACATTGAACAGTCGGCCACCAATGGTGATGTGACGCCTTTGCACATCATGCAGCCACGATTCAAAAACGGGCCGAGTATCCAGCTTCTTCCGGAAGAGATTGCTCTCAGCTTGGAGCTTTTGACCTTCCGAGTGGAGATGCCAATCCTCTCCAAGGACATCTTCGACTTTTCGCATATAACCGTCGAGTTGCCGCTCAATCTGGCGGGCCCAGACGATTGCACCTGACACAGGGGGAAGGTCATGCAACTGTGCCATCGCATGTGCCTCCGAGTGGCCATACTGCTGTTTAAAGCGCTCATGCAAGGCGGAAATGTCCTGTTTGACGTTCTCAATAAGTTGAGTTTGATATTCGCCAATCGCACCTCGAATCTTTGGGCGAACAAGAAGAGCATTGAACTTTGAAAAGACACGAAACATTTCGTTGGCATTCTTAGCTGTAGCCAGACGATCGCGCAAGCGAGCAATGATGGAGTTTTCAACACGAGAGGTCCGCTCATTATAGGCAATTTCCTCCTGAATCCACTGCTGGGTGCCTTCAGGAGATACATCCAGCACATCTACATTCTTCAGGGCAGCATATGCTTGTGCAACTTCCTCGACCGCATCAACATCTCCAATCTCTTCGACGATCACGGCACCGTCAGAGCCTGCTCCGTTGGCGGTGTCTCCAGTAGACGAAGTCTTTGGGCCGAGTACGTTTACGATCGTTTTCTGAAGCTGCTCGTGGTTCACTCTGAATGTGTTGATGTACTTCAGCCGTTCCTGTGTCTTTTCGTGCCGCGCAGCGATCTTGATTGGGATGAACTTTTCATTTCGACGTCTTGTGGATTCACGAGCGACGTTGGTGAACTCCTTCAGATTCTCATCCCAAGCTCGCCAGATCGCACCACACGTCTTCATCAGAGAACGGAATTCGCGATAATCCAGGTGCAAAATGGTTCGGCCGTGAAGCAGACTATGAATTTGCGTGTCAAGGTCACCGGAGATGGCTTCGACAAGGGCAAGAGCTCGCTTGATCGGGTAAGGGCAAATCTTCAGCTTTTTGTTAAGATGGCCAAAAATCAGACCAAGGGATTCCTGCACTTTCTGCAAAGTGGTGGCAGAAAGCAGTTCATCCAGGGGAAAATCACGCATCAGCTGATTGTACTTCTGCACCATGTCCGTAGCCTCTCGCAAGCCAGTGTCGGCAACGAAGCTGAGCGTTGCTTGGTAACGTTTGGCATGGCGGAGAATATCCATGGTCAACTGAACACCATCACTGCGCAGTTGATTTTCGATACCCTCGAGAGCGGTCTCCATCGACAGCCAGAAGTTGATCTCTTGAGCTGCCGATCCGCTATCGGCATCGCGAGACATTTTCGTGATTGTCTGGATAGACCTGATCCAAGCATTGACAGTATTTTGAATGCTGTTGATGAAAGCACTACTCTCAAGAACGTTTGAGGGAATCAGCTCCACGGAGGGCTTGATCCCTCGGGTCTCCGCTTCGACCAGGGCGGCTTGGACTACCTCATGGAGCGGCAGGTTCAACGCCGGGATCTCAACATTCTGTTGAAGGTGGAGCAAGCCGAGTTCCAGTTCTGCGAATTTCTTTTTGGTCCCAGGCACCCCAGTCTTCACCTCAGTATCCGTTCTGGGTTTCGAACCAGTAGCTGCATCCTGATTGCGGGTATTGGCCTCGAAGTAGGGGCTCAGCGCATGGTGCACGAGCAGATGCAGGACCTCATAAGGAGACAAAGAGGTACCTTGTTGCGCTTGAGCGTTGTTGAGGGATGCTGGGCCGGGGAGGTTGATAACCTGAATTTGCGACGATATGGGAAGCGTAGGGTCAATGGGAGCAGGGCGTTTGATAAATGCGACAGAGGCGACCGTGGTAGAGGAGGAGGAGATTTCAGCGGACAGGTTGTAGGCATACTGAACAGAAGAAACTGCAGACGAACAAGACAAGATTATCACTCCGTCCTGGAGTTGACCGTTTGGAATACACATACCTTCACCATCCTCTGCAACATTCGCTCCTTCTGAAGCCACAAGATCCTTCTGCACATAAAGAGCAACCTGCGATTCTGAAGCAAAGCGTGTGCATCTCTGCACTGTCTCGCTGTATTTGGCCTCCGATAGCAAGCTGCCCGTGCTCTCGAGCTCAGTTTTCAGAGCTCCTAGAGTTGCTTGCAGGACATCGACCAAGTACTGAATCACAGCCCCAGAATCCACGAACGACGTCTGAGCAGGTGCTGAGACGCCATTCGACACTCCTGCAGAGGCGACCTCCATGTTGGTTATTCTTTACAGGTAGCGTTCCCCGGTAAGCATCGAGAGCTTGATAAGGAGTTGTTGTCAGTGGTAGTTCGGCTGTATATGAATGCGCAACGTCGACTAGTAGGTTAGGCCGAAAGAATAAATCGTTTGAAGCAGCGTGTTGACAATGAGATTATCGAGATTATATGAAGAAATGAATATGAAATGGAGTACAGTAATTAGTTAGATGACCATGACCCTTTGTTCATTTGGGCCTCATCTATCTGTCTTCCACCTAACTATTTTATTATTATTATTATCGGCCATGCGGGACGCGGCAGGCGTGTTTTCTTGTCTGGTACTTCAGGGGGTCAGCCCGCGCCATCCCTATTATGGTTAGTTCCTCATCGGCGTCCTCGGGCCATCGTTTCCCTTATCCAAGGCTCGTTTCCCGTGATCCCGTCACTGTGGAGCGGCAACTTGGCAAGAGATCCTTACCTTACCTGAGTATCTACTCTTTTGCCTTCTGAAGGGTACAGAGCTGATCTGACTCTGAGATCTCATCACATGATGCACATCTTTAGCGAGGCAGCCCATGGTACAGTTATGCTTGGGATATGGATCAAAACCGATGGTAATCTATACTAGGAGCTCAATGTTGATACTACCGGAGTGCGACAGCGACGACCAATTGATCAGAGCTTAATATGAGAATCATCTTGCGTGTTCGCATACTTCTTGATTTCTGTAAGCTAACGAACCTCTGGTGAAATCCGTTTGTCTAGCACTATTTTCGCATGTTGCCCCCCGAGGCATTATCAAATTGCAGTCCCAATATCCATTGCAGAGGAAGAGTTCTCTGTTTCTTTACAATCGCAATGGTACTTCTGACGAAACTCGGAGGGCAGAAGACCATCAAGCACTGTCAAAGCCTTCTCACTTGCCTTGACTTTTGCATAACGACTGGAAGACGATCTTGCCTCTGAAATCACAATACCATGCACAATGACAGCAGCCAGGACGCCAGCTGGCGCTCCATCAATGGTTGGCAATTCTCCTGCTTTTAAGCAGTAGTTTGTACAACCGTACTTATTCGTCAGCCTGTTGTGGAGGAAAGTCTAAAGTTCCATCAGCCATCTGTATGAACACGGAAAACATTAGCAGCCTTACAGTTGGATGCTTGTTGGCGAAAGTGTCGTAGATTGACATGTCCTCAAAGTATGGTTTGATCTGGCGCTCAAAGAACGCCTCTATCACTTGAAAGTCGAACTTTGAGTCCACGAAAATCGCTCCGAGATACGCTTCGACCATGTCTGGCAAACACTACATTCCAGGTCAGTCACCTTGGTAGACGAGGGTAGATTTATGGGCATACCTTTGGTGGATCCTTCGCAACGACCCAATAATCGGCCGCCCCATGGCTTTCAGCCTGTGCAGTCTCAATCTCCTCGACATAGTGAGTAATTTGAGCTTGTAGAGGGTTGCTGAAAGCCATGATACGCCTATGAAATCCCAACTTCACAGATAATGCGCCAAGGAACTTATTTGATACCATCGCCATCTGTACGGTTGTAGTCAGCCATATTTTCAGAAACAAAAGATAGGGCGAAAAGGACAAGGCAGCTTTGAGCTTACCTTATGCTCGGTGAGCCATTGAGGGTCTCGATCAGGAAATCTCCGAAACAGGTCCTCCACACAGACCATATCTAGCAGTGAATCGCCAAGGAACTCAAGTCGCTGGTAGCAGGGCACCCGGTAGCCCCACGTCGAAGGGAGAGAGGGATGGGTGATGGCAGATGCCAGGAGTCGGGGATAAGTGAAGTGGTAACCCAGCTTCTCCTCAACGTGACGGGCCAGATCATCCTCAGACCCTCTGGATTTCTCGGCCTGGTATTTGGGCATAGTGTAAAGAGTGATGTAATCCTTCCAACAGGAGACCCTGTGGCTGGGGCTGTCAACAAGAGCAGTCACTGCTTTCGTAGCCATATCAAATCTATGTTCGGGGCCTCCCGACAGCAACGATGCTCCTATCAGGGCCTCACAAACGTCAGCAATCGTCTTTTCTCCAAGGGCATGTTTTCCTTCGGAAAGGAGCTTTTTGCTGTGGTCCTTTCCTTGCAACAAGGTCAACCCATCAGGATACCATATGTGCCTGCCATTCGAGCTATCAGCATCCTATAAGTTCAAGTCTCGGTCTCGGGACTCCACCCACCTTGAGAATCCCCGGCTACGGATGTACCGGTAGATCTGCTTCTTAATGGCCGTATTGAAGAGATTCTTGTTGCAAATGAGGCACATCCGGTTCACATGGTAATCGAATTCGTCATCATCTGGGTTCTGAGTGAAAAGTGCAATCGATGTTGCCATCTTCAGAAAACAATCGCCCAAGAACTCTAAACGCTCGTAGTTCTTGCCCATCCCTCGTTGGAAATGGATTTGTTGACCTCGATGCTCCTCAGTGTTGTCCGAATCCTTTGTGAATGCTTCCAGGGCAAAATCTGGTTGGATAACAAGATCGAGTTCGTCGCATGCTTCGAGAGCGATGAGATATGAGTCCAGTCTGCTGATGATAGCAGGAAATGCGAGACAGGTAGACGCTATCGGAGTAGGGATCTTCGTCACACGTTAGTATACCAACACATGAGCTAGTGAGTTGATGAAGGGTCAACCAACAGCAGATATCTTCAGCGGCTCAGCACATATAAAACACTCTGTTTGTGTCTCCTTCTCCTGGGTGGTCATTTTATCCAGGAGATTCCTGCGAAGACGGACAAGCTCCGCCTGGAGGACTGGCTGGTTCCAGTCGCAGCCGGAAAGAAACCTGGCTCGTGAATTCTTCGACAGACTCAGGCAGTAGTTCATAATATCATTCATATGCCTACGACGTGGCACCGAAGGTGGCGGCGGATCAGAGGGTCGCAATGTATCAGCCACAGCAACTGTGAAATAACGGCACCGCCCGTCCCAGTTGTCGAATATAAACCGATCCACCAAGGAGTCAGGGTTCAGGTCTCTAGAGAAAGGGATTTCGTCGTTATTGTGTACAAAGGATACTGTATCCCAGTCAATACAATCGCGAGGATTTGTTCCCCTGCCTCGATCGCCGAGCGCCTCTGCTGGAGCAAGCCAGTAAGGCATTTTTTGGACTTCATGTTCATAAACCTTGTGAAAAACGTCCCGAAATACGCGAAGGGTAAATGTAGTCAGCGACTGTAGTTCGTCGACCGATATTCGCAAGCCATGCTTCAGTGGGTTGGAGAGGACCTTAGTCTCGACGTCCTCGTCGAGGTAGATTGAGAATGCCGGGAACTCTGGCAACTTTTCCCGGGTCAGCAAGAGTATGGGTCCGTGGTCGCGACTCAAGGGCTTCGAGGGCAGGAGGGATATATAAGTCCCGTAAAATGTGTCAGTTGGAATGGTCCGTTGTCTAGCCCAGATGGAGGGCTTTAACAGCATGTCATACTGGTTCGTTCGCTTGCACGTGATAGCTAACTTTGCGTTCCTCATTGCTGGCAAGCGTCTATGATAGATCGAGTTGAAATAATCATCAAGCAATCTGTTTTTCCGGAGCAAGAGGCACGTATCGAAAGCCGCAGATTGTTTGGCGATGGACTTTCTCATTGCCGGGCTTCCAGTGAGTCCTCGAATGGGCGACTTTTCCGGCAATATCACTTCGCAAACATAGGCATTGCTGACAGACGAGACTACATATGTTGCTTGAGGTACGGTTTCCTTCTCGTATTGCTGTACAATGTTGATATCAGACTTTTATGAAGATTAAGGCGACAAAACTTACCAGAGAACTAGCATAACGCGCAAGAATTGCAGTGGCGGAATGATATGTGAGCTTTGCTCCTGTGCTTTTTACTGTAAATGTTCGTCTTCCCTCCTCTTCTTGAAGAAGCGAATCTAAGTCATGGTCGTTTCCGTGCAATATTCGATCTTCGGGGAGGGTTTCACAGAACCGCTGCATAATTTTCTGATCCGTCAGGCCCATTTAAAGACGATCAGGATCTAAAAGTTCACTTACTTCGGCCTCGCGAACCTCTTTAAGTCGTGCTTCATGCTCCGCATTGTCCTTTTCGACCATACTTGCGTACTAAACGTAGACAAGGTCAACGGCTGGTCAAGACAATCAACCAGATTAACGTACCGTGGAGGTGCAATGTCTAGCTCGTCCTCGACTTTGTACGTATTGGATAAGTGTGCGATAAAGATCAAATCTGGCGAAGTTACTCATTATTCATGAACATTAGTGGTACCATAACATACCTGACAACCAGGTTGCAATCTGGGATGTCGAGACCTTCTTCCGCCACTGATGTAGCAAACTTCTACACGTCAGACAAATCGCAATTGGAGTATCTTCACGGAGTATCTCACCAAGCAATTGATCTCTCCCGTTCTGAACTTGACTAAAGCAAGAAATTGTTGCCGAAACGTAATGTTCATGCCACCGATGTCACCGGGTCTAACGCCAATGAGAACCCCTGGGCGCAAGTGAGGAATGTCCAGGACTGTAAAAAGCTCCTTGAGGATTTTCGCAGTGTAGCGCTTCTGCGTAAAGACAATACATTTAGTTCCTGTGGCATGGCTGAAGCGTTTGCTGAGTTCCGTACGGAGAAGCTGCACTTTAGGGCTAAGTTCGCCTGGGAGCTCCGGATCAGCGAAAGAATAGTTCTTGACGATATCACTTGCTTCTCTGATGCGTATAATCTCTTTGAAAATAGCGCCATGTTCTGCATTCAAAGGGTTCGACTCAACAAGCTTGCTGATGTTACCCTCAAGTTTGGGCAACACATCGTCTGCCAAGGCATGCCACCATGCTCTGTCTGAACACCATTTGCCCAGTTCTGAGCTGGCATGCCAGGCAAATCTAAAGACTCCTTCGAGCACCTTGATATTGCCATAGCGATCATCCATGAGCTTATAAAGTTCTGTTGCGAAAGGTGACTCAAGCCTGTTATACGCCCACACTTTCTCTATCGGGCGACTGACAACTTCGCGCAAGAGTGTGATCTTTGAAGTTGTGGCGATTCGACTATCCAACAAGGTCTCTAGTCTCCTACAAGGGATTAGTCTGAAATTCCCATGTTTACTAGCCGAGAACATACGTTGCGGCTTCTATGATGTCCCCTTTTGTGTCGATTGGTGATGCTGTCATTCCGAAGACCCGTGGACGCTGAGAAGGCTGTGCCTTGAAATAAGAATCCTTGATAATGCTTTGATAAAGTTAGTAATAGCACTGTGATCTTCATATGTACCACGAACCGTGCATATGGGTGATCTTTCTTCGTATGATGAGCTTCATCAAAGACCAGCAGGTTTATTTGATTCATCTTCACGTATGAATTGAGCAAGCATTGGTTCAGAATCTCCGCTGTACAGACTATCACCATGTTCCGCTGCAAATGCTCATCCCAGGTCCGTTTATCCCATAGGTCAGTACCCATGGCTCCAAAGAAGTGCGCAACGTCCTGGTCGATATTATTGCGCAAAACCGCCGCCTGTTGATATGCGAGTGTGACGCTGTCAACCTTGCAACAAGTTAGTAAACACCTCACCCAAGGCTCTTAGCAAAGCAAATACCAGAAAGAACGACACACGATGAGGTTTTCCATTCGCACGATCATCCAGCTCATTCTGGATGGTATGTCTCAGCAAAAGCACGGCGATCAACGTCTTTCCCGACCCTACATACTGGTCAGCATGAGCTTCACTTACTGAAGAAAGCCAACGTTAGTGGCAATACCTGTATCAAGAACGGCAATTGTATTCTGCGCCTTAGCCCGTTCGAATAGCTCAATCTGATATTCCCTCGGGTCCAACATCCCGCGTCCCAGATCTTGCTTTGCGATCAAATTGGCCGTAGATAGCTCACCATCTGATAAAGCCATTGGCGCTCTATCCGTGTCTTCATTGGGATCCGTATCGGCGCACTTGGACAGCCTGCGTCTAAGTTAGCCGTAGCTTACGAGATTTCTCCGACGAGGGGTGCTGACAGGGCTTCAAATTGAGCGTTCTGGACTCGTCGTCGCTGTGAGTAATTAATTTGATTGGGAACAACTTCTTCATTATCATCGTCAGAATCGCCTGAAGAGAGCTCGTGTTTGTGAACATCAGCACTAGAGTCTGCTGGGTCGCTTGCAGCAACATCTGTTATGAAGAGGTCTCGTAACAGTGAAAAATTGCTGGAGTCTTCACTTTTCAGAGCCACAGACGATGACACATCCACCAGCGATACTTCCTCGGTCATAGTTAAGGAATTCTGAGATCGCTGAGTTGGCAAAGGGTGCAGGAAGTGTAGAAATATATTGCTTTAACTTCATGAGGAGGATACGAGTAAGTACACAGTGGGAAATGGATAGGGTTGAATTCATTAGGAGGAGAAGAAAAACTGAACTTATAGAAGAGGAGAGTGAAGAGTGAAGATAGAGTGAATGTACAGAGAATCAGGGGAGCTCCATAGCTTAGCCGTTTGAGGTGATATCGATCGCAAACAGAAGGGTTTGATAAAACAAGGACTCTGCTCATGATGACTTTGTCTCAGTCTGTTACCTGCTACTGCTCTGATGCAAATTCTTATAAATCACTACCCATAACGATCATAGAAGCTGTAGTGAAGAAAGGCAGCGATTGATTCCGAAGCTTTGTATACCTCGACTCCTGTGCCGTTGATAAGAGCTCTGACCAACTGATTGCGGGGCGTGGATCTGGCGCCGTGGGGCGAGTCCCGATAATATTATTTTTGCCTCAGCTCCGATCGTTAGGTACCGCAACGAAGCTTGATCTTGTCGATTCTTGTTATCATACCTCATTGCCCAGGATGGAGCAACCTCAAAGCCTACGATCCCTATTTACCGCTGCAAAGGCCGAGAAAACCTCGCTGGAGTCGCGGTCCGACTCCAATTCTGACTCCTATCGCAAGGATGTTAATGCAACGATAGCGAAGTTCGAGGAATGCCAGCGCCTTCTTGGCCAACTCTCCTTGTTCAGCTCGAATGAACCTCTGGAAGATATTGCAACAGGGGATATACAGTGAGTAAAATTACTGCTGGAGCTGTGACGAGCTTGTGCTCATGACTTTTTCTTCTCTGCATAGATACCTCACCGTGGATTATCTCCTCGCAGACATTCTCCAACGCACCTATACCTCAGACCGCGAGTCTACTATCCGGCGTGCCCTGGAACAATATGAGAAATACCTTTCGCGGTTAGATGACTATGGACTGCTTAATGACAACGACAAGAAGCTATACGAACGCTACACATCTAATCCTTCGTCTTTCTCGCTGGCTCCAACTAATGACGCAGCCACCCGAAGGGAAGTGAAGCTGTCGCGATTTCGGGAGGAGAAAGAGCTGAAACAACGGCTTGAGGTTTGTTCAAGGGTTGTCCCTCGGTCGTGAGCCTTACTTACAACCTCGCCAGTATTTGTCAAACAATGAGAGCCGACTACAAAGTGATGATGAAGACGTCCGGAAACTTTACCTGGCAGAAATCAATCTGTACACGCATCAAGCCTTCCAGTCGATGGATCTACTCTCGCAAGAACTTTCAATGCTTTCAGCGATTCGCAATAATCCTCCCAATCCCGCTCAGCTCCCGCAGGACGATCCCAGACGACGAAACGAAAATGCTCAATCAGATTACTCGGAGCGTCTGGACCCGCCTTTGTCTCAGCTTCTCAGAGGTGGAAAGTTCGGACCGTTACTCAATAAAGAAGGAAAGCCATTGCAGCCTTTTACTTTACTGGATCGCCGCACTCAACTCCAACAGGGCGTGTTTAGGTCCGGCCATAATCTTCCCACAATGACGATTGATGAGTACCTTGAGGAAGAAAAGAGAAGAGGTGGCATAATTGAGGGTGGAGAAAAGTCTGGTATGAAAGAGGAAATAGACGAGGATGACATGGACAAGGCAGATGAAGAGACAATGAAGGCTCGGGCCTGGGACGAATTCAAGGAAGCTAATCCAAGAGGCTCCGGGAATACCTTGAATAGGGGCTGATGTCTCACCGTTGAAGTTCGTCAATAGGAGATGTCCCTAGAAATAAACACTTTTGGAACTGATACCCCTCGTCTTGTGCAATTCGTTGCCAAATGATTATTCTTAAACCCGCAGTGAAATACGTCTCCTGACGGCTCACTTTCATGTCGAGACATTCAAAGTGATGATCCGATGCTTTTCAGGGATTATGTCTGGAGACGAGGTGGAAAAACGGGTATACCTATCCAAGCGGATTGTGCATTATATTTTTTTACATGGGCGGTATCGGCCTTTAGTCACTGTCTTGTAGCTAAGACTGGGGAGAAGACCAGCATCTCCACTTCGGTGAGATTTGGTATTTTGCTCGTCCAACAACAATTAGTCCTCAAGGGGTGAGCTTTTTGCGTTGGATCTCCTCAAGGATCTTCCCCGCGCCTTTTTCTACCAGTGCCTTCGCAACGGTCACGCCGAACTCTTCAGCGGATTCTGCCGTATCAACTGACCCGTCTACTTCGACCTCAGCACTTTCACGACCGTCGACACTGACGACTATGGCCCTCATTCTCAGTTTGGACGACCCATGGGAGTCCTGAACCCACTCGGTCTCGACACCCAGAGGGGCACTGCAGCCACCCTCAAGAGTTCGCAAGAGGCTTCGCTCTGCGAGGCAGGCCATAGTCGTTTCGTGATGGCCGATAGACTTGAGCATATCACGCACAAGCTTATCATCTTTGCGAATCTCAACACCAAGTGCTCCTTGGCCAACTGCGTAGAGCATCCCGCCATTCTTAGAGTCAAGATACTGAGAGATGCGATCCTCCAGACCTAGTCTCAACAGACCAGCGGCAGCCAAGATAATGCAAGTAAATGGGCTGTCTTCAGCATCTAGTTTCGCTAACCGAGTGCCGATGTTGCCGCGCACATCCTGGATCTTCAGATGAGGGTATCGCCGGGCGAGTTGAGCAGTGCGGCGGATGGATGAAGTACCCACAACAGACCCCGCGGGCATCTCAGAGAAGCTCATATTAGGCAATCCCTTCTTCATCACCAGAACATCCCTTGTATCTTCTCTCTTCATCATGGGGCCCAATGTACATGAGGGAGGTAGCTGAGTCGGTACATCTAAAATCGATTATCGATTAGTAGGAAGAATAATAGCAATCCGAGGCAGGCGTGATGAACCCACCCTTTAACGAATGAACAATGAGATCGACATCACCAGCCATCAAAAGCTCTTCCAATTCCTGTGTCCAGAGGTTCTTGGTAGTGAATTCTCGGAGAGCAATAATTGTATTCTTATCACCCGCTGTCTCACGAGAGTGGATTTGAAAAGTATATTCCGGCCACGACTTCTGTAGCGCTGCAAGAACCAGGTCAGTTTGCATCAGAGCGAGCTTAGATTTGCGCGTCCCTATTGTGAAGGTTCTCCGCGACGAGGAATTCGCGGCTTCGGAGGATGGCGGGGCAGATGCCATTGCGATGAGTGTTTCAGCAGGAGGCGAATGAGGTTTGTTTCGGGAGGGCACCACAGTCTATCGAAAGGCTTAACTGATAGTGATAAATGTGCAGGATTATCTGCTGAACAAAGATCTAGAGGGTTGAGTGATCTTGAAATTGAAAGCTAATCTAAGTAAATCATGAGATATCTCCGGGGAATTTGAAGCCATTCTGGCGGGTATTTAGTAACTAATGGAGGCTACCGCCTTCCGCTCTCTGAGGTACTGTCACAGCTTGTACCGTAAGGTACCAATAGCTGTAAAGTTATCTTACCACGCGTGAAATACTAATACACATCCCCGTGATGCATCAACAGATGGACTACTCCGTACACGTCAGTTCCTCTACCACATCAGATCGCAGAGAATTCAGTGACCCTTGTTGAGAGGCTCAATTTGATACCATTCTAACTGGTCTCATTAGCCTGTACCAAAAACTGGCACAATCACAGAGGTCTGGGGCTGGTTGCTCTCAATCCCCGGATCTGACTGACGTCGATCACACGAACCTCGGCTTCGGGATGCGCTTATCGCTTCAATCGCCTCCCCAGAGTCACGGACTTCATCTATCTACGGGGTTCTGGAACCTTTCCGCGGCCTTAAAACCGACCATCCGACACCCAACAGACCAGACTCTTTAATTAACTGACTTCAAAGAAACGCGGTATCATCGTTGTCTTATATTAATATCTTTGTTTGATATTGACACATCTCGTGTCTTTCGGATCTGGGAGGCCGAAATGGGTTCCAATAACGGAAGAGCGACGAAGCTTTCCTTAGTCCCTCTGCCCAAAGGCTCCGTGTTGCTCCCTGGCGTCACTCTACGCATCCCGGTGTCGAATCGCCCTGATCTTGCTAACCTTCTCTCGACTCTGCTTGATCGGACAAATCCGGCAAAGCGGGATGGAAACTCTATCACATTCGGTTGCGTACCTTTGAGTTCGCCATTGCTAAGCAATGACGGCCAGCAGCTGATTGATGATGGAAGCTTGGATGGCGCTAGGAAGGAGGAGTATGATGCTGTGGATGCAGGCCAGGCAAGAAAGGAGGATCTCTTCCGGTACGGCACCGTCGGCAAAGTGATAGGGGTGCAACGACGTGCCTATGCAGAGCCGTTCCTCGTGGTCCAAGGAGTTCAACGTTTCACCGTCAAACGTATCTTGAAGGAGAGGCCCTTTTTCGAGGCAGAGGTGGTTCTACACAGTGAAAGAGGTCAGTGCACAAATCTGTTTGCCATTAAAGATATATCCATCATGGCTAATAACATGTCCATAGATGTCATTTCTAACGATGCAGAAACCGTTGAGTTGTTCCAGCAGTTGAGACAACTATCGCGCGAATTCATCACCCTCCTACGACTGTCGTCTCTACTACCTTCGACTGGCACGCGCCTGTCGCCACTCGTTGCTCGCAAATTCGAGGTGTACATTGCTAAGACGGATTTATCGCAGGCGGGCAATCTGGCCGACTTTATGGCAGATGTGGCTGATTCTACCTTCGAGGAGAAACTTCGCGTATTGGCTTCTTTCGCTCTGAGAACTAGATTGGAAAGAGTCGTCGAGCTCTTGGGCCGACAGGTTCAAGGAATCAAGAACAGCGTCAAAGTTACTACGATCTCCACCTCTTCATTCCCACCAAATTCACCGTTTGATATCAGTCAGATTGATCCTCGAGACCGTGAGTTGTTGGCAAGGCGAGCCATGGCCGGTTTGACGGGCTTGACGCCCCCTGGAGCCGCGGGCGGACGTAACAACGAGGACGAAAAGGAGAC